CTTGAGGTGAGCTGATCCCTACAATGTACACAGCAGCTGCTCCCGCCAAGCCGCGAAGCCGGTTGCACGTGGTAAGCCTGAACCTACAGTGTCCCATCGGATACATAGGGAATGGCGAGCCAACGCGTGTAGTCTTTTGTAGTAGCCGCAGTGTACAAAGGCGTTAATTCATAGAGTTCCCATCCTTCGTGTTCAGTGAAAGCAGATCGCACTGAACATGGGGGGTGCGAAAGGGAACTAAGTAACATTCACATGGGTTACAGTGTATCATATACCCATATATGCATGGCACTTACCGCCAACTCCATGTTGGCTCAAGCGCCCGCAAAAGGTGAAAAAGGAAATCGCTATGCTTGCTGCTCCGCCGAGTTGAAACGCTGGAAACAGACCGCAGAGACTCAAAACCCAATACGAAAGATCCGGAACAGGGATAATTCTGTTCGCAGAAGATATGCCAGATAAAATGCCAGAAGATTTGCCAGATAGAATGCCAGAAGGTATGCCAGATAATGCCAGAAGGTATGCCAGATAGAATGTCAGATAGAATGCCAGAAGGTATGCCAGATCAAGTGCCAGAATGTTTGCCAGAACATATGCCAGAAGATTTGCCAGATAGAATGTCAGATAGAATGTCAGAAGATATGCCAGAACATATTGCAGAAGATATGCCAGGTAGAATGCCAGAAGATATGCCAGGTAGAATGCCAGAAGATATGCCAGATAGAATGCCAGAAGATATGCCAGAAGATATGCCAGATAAAATGCCAGAAGTTATGCCAGATAAAATGCCAGAAGATTTGCCAGTAACAAAACGTATAGATGTCATGGTGGGGATAACTCGAAGTAAGGTAGTTTTTAAGAGTTAATATTTCTACGATTTCACAACTTGATATTTTTGAAGTTTTCGTATCAAAAGTACTTACATTCCAAACATTGTTTAGGTACTTTTCCAGATTATCTGGATAGTATTGACAAAAATGGATTTGGAAACAGCTTTGGTTAAGAGCTTTGGTCTCTGATGGTTTGCAAATCATGCCAGGTAAAGAAGACACAATCTGCCAAAATCTTGCTTGCAAATAAAATATCTCCAGTTTTGAGCACAAGTAAGTGCATTCTCTCTGACACGCAAGCAATATCAAACATGACAAAAGTAAATGCACAAAAGACTCGTGTTTCATGTTATTGTTACAACATTTCCAGTTCTAACAATACATTCCAACAATGGAATGAGTTCACATCAGTTAAAATGAAATTATTCCCTCCACGATTCTTTAAGAATTGAAAAAATCACACATATTTACTTACATTTACTTACAATGTAAATACATTTACTTATCGAAGGAAGTTTAGAAGTCAAACTTCCGACAATATGGAGAGATGAAAAGCAGAGCAGGGAAGAGGCATAGAGAAGAGAAAGATCAGAAGAGAAAGAGTAAGAGGACAGAAGATACAGATGCGTGAAAAGGTAGGAAAGTCGCGAAACACTGTGTTTTTCCAATGATTTGTGGCTCCGGTGGGTCGAAAAGTAGGCTCGCTAAAGCGGCGGGTGCGGAGCCAGCTGGCCAGATGAGAGATGAAAAATTGCACGCCGTTGCGGCGCGAAGCACATTTCCAAGTCAAAAGTGTAAAAAACTGGCGGTCTCGGACCACTTTTGGAAGTTGAGATTTCGAAAAAGTGCACGCCGTTGTGGCGCGAAGCACATTTCCAAGTCAAAATGTACAAAACACCTCAGCGTCGGACCACTTTTGGAAGTTGAGATGTCGAAAAAGTGCACGCCGTTGTGGCGCGAAGCACATTTCCAAGTCAAAATGTACAAAACACACCAGGTTCGGACCACTTTTGGAAGTTGAGATGTCGAAAAAGTGCACGCCGTTGTGGCGCGAAGCACATTTCCAAGTCAAAAGTGTTAAAAACTGACGGTCTCGGACCACTTTTGGAGGTTCAGATGTCGAAAAAGTGTCGAAAAAGTGCACGCCGTTGTGGCGCGAAGCACATTTTCGAAGTCAAACGTGTAAAAAACTGAGGGTTTGAGCCTTTTTTGACGTGAAGATGTCGAAAAAGTAGACACTGATTAACTTAACTCACTTGACTAACTTAACTAACTTCACTAACTTAACTACACTAACCTCGACGACAACACCAACAGCAACAGCAACAACAACAACAACTACTACAACTACAACAACTACAACAACTACACAACAACTACAACTAGAACTACAACTACAACAACTACAGCTACTACAACAACAACAGCAACAACAACAACAGCAACAACAACAACTACAACTACAACTACAACTACTACAACAACAACTACTACAACTACACTACACAACAACTACAACTACACAACAACTACAGCTACAACAACAACAACAACAACAACAACTACTACTACTACTACTACAACTACAACTACAACTACAAAACAACTACAGCTACAGCTACAACTAAATGACTGCAACTACACTACACTAATTACATTACACCACAACTACAACTCCACTACGCTACAACTACAACTACAGTTGCAGTACATCACACTACATCCAGCAGTTGTGGGTGAGGTGGCCACTGCAACCATTGCAACCACTCCAGCAAACACAACTCCAACCACCTTTCGGTCAATCAGTGGATTCGCTCTGCCATCCGTGATTCACAACAACCAACGTCTCCTATAGGTTTCCTATTCTGAAACTTCCGCCACCGCCTTGCGCGGTACTACTGGTAATGTAAAAGTCATTTACATTTCACCTAAATATATTTACTTATAACCTAAATAGTATTACCTAATTATTTACTTTACTTTTATGTAAAGAAAATACGTAATTTTTTTTATCTAAATGGAGAAATTTACGTAAATTTTAGGATTAGTAAATTTACTCTTTTTCGAGACTCAGGGCACGACATGTTCAGCTCTGCCGAGAACTTCAACCAGCCGATCGGGTCCTGGGACACTTCAGCAGTGACAGACATGCATGGCACCCTCGGGGGGGGGGGGCGCGGGTGACCGCGCGGGAATTGACCTGGTTACAAATTCCCCCCCGCAACAGGCCACTTACCCCGCTCCACTGCCTAACACGCAGTGGTGAGCGTCAGAGATGACCGGGGCAGCGCCGGTAAAACGGAAGGTTGCTACGTTAATGCACCGCCCAGTGTCACGCTAACACCGTGGCCACCATTCTGTGGTGCCGGGACCCTGGACTGGGCACAGCCAGCCACCAGACTGGCAAACCGCCGGCTACCACACCGGAACACTGGCACAGACCAGCTCCAATTGGCGCAAGCCATACATCACTTTGCAAAATACAACGTACCGATGTGGGCTCTGCCCCATCACACCCAGTTCACTGGGACCAGCACTCTCGTAGCAGCCGCAGCTGCTAAACACAGCATTTACACTGCGGCTGCAGCCGCAACACACGACGGGGTACCCGCCCGTGACCTTACCGGTCTTCATCATAAGAAACACAGCCAGCCGGCTTTTTCCACGCTTTGCGTGGGGTGCCCCTTAATCCAATGCCTTCTTGGCTCGCCAGGTTGGGTGCACTTACAACTACAACCAGACATGCATGGCATGTTCTACGAAGCCAAACAATTCAACCAGCCGATCTGGTCCTGGAACACTTCGGCGGTAAAAAACATGCAGTACATGTTCCGCCATGCCGAGAACTTCAACCAGCCGATCGGGTCCTGGAATACTGCGGCATGCAGTTCATGTTCGGCGAAGCCTACGACTTCAACCAGCCGATCGGGTCCTGGGACACTTCGGCGGTGACTAACATGCAGTCCATGTTCTACAAAGCCAGAAAATTCAACCAGCCGATTGGCTCCTGGGACACTTCGGCAGTAAAAAACATGCAGTTCATGTTCAGGTCTGCCATGAAATTCAATCAGTGGATCGGGTCCTGGGACACTTCGGCAGTGACAAACATGAAGGGCATGTTCTACGAAGCCAAACATTTCAAACAGCCGATCGGCTGCTGGAACACTTCGGCGGTAAAAAACATGCAGTACAGCGGCTATCAAAAAGAGAGCGCCTCCCGGCCAATTACTTCTTGTAGTTTGCCACGGCAGTGGCGGGCCTTAGCAGGTGCGAAGCTCTCTCAGTTTCAATGCAGCATGGCATGGTTGCTTTCGCATCTTTGCAGTTGTTGTGTTACACCCAGTGAAGTTGCAGTGACATTGATGCATGAACACTGGCCAATCATAGGTGAAGACCCTTTCACTAACATGACATTCCTGTGTATATTATACTGCTTTGCTTTCTTTTGGGACTGGCTGAGCAGACCACGCAATTCGTTCAAGAGAACGCAGAAAACTCTCAAAACCAACAGAAAAAAGTGCAAAACTCGAAAACCAAACAAACATATCCAATTCACCAAGTATCGCATGGCACTTCCAGCGAGACTGGTGCGAAATGCACGTCATACGAAAGCTAAAATGCGCCAAAGATTGTCCAGCGCGAAGTTTCGCGCAGCAAAACCGAGAGCATGGGCCCGAGGCCACCAAAACCGCATCCGGTGTAGTAAAACCCGTAGAAGTTGTTCCAAACTGTCTCATGGTTTGAACCTGGATTTCCATCAGTATGGCATATTTTCCATTGCTAGCGTTTGTCGTGCTGACGCTGCGTCCATGGATGTGACCAAACCAGAGTTGAGATGCCTCCTTGCGGGAGGTGCGGGCGGTTCAGCGCGCACACGTCGTAAGCGCAACAATCCACAGCATGAGTCACCACAAAGCCTGGCTACTGCTTTGACAAATGTGATCCAGCAGTGGCAGCCTAGCAATCAAAATATGCCTGAAGACCACACTTGGGGGTGGCGGAAAAGAAGGAAACAAGCAAATAATTCATGGCAAGGATACCGGGCTGACAGCTCTCCTGACACCAGCCTTGCTCGCGAATTACTACAGCTTCTCCAGAAACTTTGCGCAAACCAAGCAAGTGACCAGGAAGTGATCACAGCCACCAGCAGGCTGATTGAGACCAACCAAGGACACAGCCGTGACCTTGGGAAACCAGTTGCGGTCAGGGAAGTCAGATACAGCAAGCCCCAGAGTGGAGCGAAAGCTTCAAGTCATGGTGCCAATCGCTGGGGAAAACAGACCAACCCCAACCGAAGCTGCAGCCATCAAGATATCACTGGTTTTGTGCCCAGCGAATGGAATGCCCAACCAAAGTTCCTATCCGTGCATGAGATCATTTCTCAGATAAAAGCCGGAATAGCCTTGCAAGCCAACATCACCGAAGTTTACACCAAAGAACAGTGTGCGAACCTGCGCACCCTTTGGCATAGCTATGGGTGCAAGGGCTCTTTGACCATGCTGCTCACCAAGGATGCCAAAGACACCCTGGGGGCCACGGCTACCCGTGTTCGCATATCCAGGGCGCATGGCACACCGAAAATTGAAGAAATAGCTCTCCTGCGCTTATGAGATACCAACAGTGGATTGTGGATCTTGCCCACAGTCAAAGTTGATGAGGGGAAAATCAAAACAGTCCAAAGAAGCACTGTCAGAGTCACTGCACCTTTGGAATTCCGAAAGCACTTCTTGGATTCAGGCCAAGACCTACCCAGATTGGTAGCGGCTGCCATGGCCCAGTGGAGTGAAAAAATAAAAGCCTCTCACCTCATGGGTGGCAAATGGAATCACACGCAGGTCCATCAACAAGACTTGCTCACAGGCTGGCTGATTTTGCCAACAGAACAGGCTAAGGAGCTTGTTGTCAATAGCGGTCGCCAGGGTGTTTTTGCCCAGATCCAAGAAAACAATACTGGACCCAGGCCCATCCGTTGGTTTCAACGACAGAACAACGAAAATGCCGAGACCTATTTGCAAAGATGTCTCAAGGAAGCTAAGCTCAGGAAAGTTGGTCTTTTTTTTTGAAAAAGCAGCACACCACACACCATTGGCATGGAAAAAACAGCAGCAGAAATAGCTGAGGGCCAAGCGGCCAACTACCTCCTCCGAGGGGCTCCAAAGATGTGGCAGACTGAAGAGATCGAAGATTTTCTCAATCAACAGAAATGGAAAGCCGTGCAACGCATTTCCAAAGTGCGATATCGAAACGAATGGCGTTTTCATGCCCAGCCACCTTCAGCTATGCAGGAAAATTACCATTACGATTGGGCAGAAGGCTACATGTCATGCATCCCAGCTCCTTTCAGACAACGCCAGCCAACCTGGCAACAACCTGTCAGAAACACATGGCGAGGAAATGAGCTGGGGAAAATTGGAAATGAAGCCAGCAATCCTGGCGATACCGGTGACGTCATGGCAACTGCTCTGGATCAGGACTCCAGTCAAGCCTCACAAAAAGAGGCTGGTAGGGAAAGAAGTCGGAGCCCAGTTCGCTCCAAGCAGCGGCAGGCTGTTGCAGATGACCCAGATCTGATCCCAACAGACATCGCGGAATGTTTCAAAAATGGCTGGGAAAGTCAAGATGTTGGTGGCAATGGAGATTGTTTTTATCGAAGTATTGCTGCTTGTCAACACTGGCAAAAGCATCATAAGTTGATCACTGCTGAAACTGCTGCCCTCTGCGGGGCAGAGCTTCGTGCGTCAGCTGTTTTGCACGCCCAGAAGCATAGTAGCAGGCTCTCTAGCTGGTTTGCGCCAGATTCCAAAGAAACCCCCGCTGAAAGGGGATGCAATCCGCAGGCAACGAACATCAGTGAATGGTGTGAACTGCAGATGAAACAGGAAGTCTGGGCAGATGGCCTTAGCATCCAGTGCCTGGCTGAGACCTTGGGACTTGTCATTGTGATTTTCAAACAATCAGAGGATAGATGGGACAGATTCACATTCGCACCTGGCTTTAAGCAGGATGTTGCAATGAGCAGACGCAATGCGCCTCCGGTTGTTTTGACCTTAAACAAAAAGCATTTCGAAGCAGTGCATGCCCCACAAAAAACAAAGTTCCCTCGCCCGTGGTTGCTCAAAACTACCAAACCTCTCATGATTGATCTGACGGGGGCTGGCCGTGGTCTTCCAAGCCTTAGTGCCACTCCTTCCATCCACACCTGGCGAACTCCTGTTAGTTCCATTTCGCGCCGATCAAGCAAACCCCACCCAGTGCAGAAAAGCATTCGAAAGGTCAAAGTCGGTAGCAGTGTTGATCAGCCCATGGCAGGGACTCATGTTGTCCATTCGCAGTCTTGCATGTCGCATGCTCCTGACCGGAGACACAACGCTTCGAAGAGGCGCAGCAGTGTGGCCAGAAGTTCATCCGCTAGAGTTTTTCTTACCGTGGCGCGAACCGATGCCGCTCCCAGCAGCTGTGCTCACCAACAGACTCATTGTGATGCCGTTTTTTCTGTTGAGGTTCCCCTTGCCCATGATGCCGTCCAACATGCAGGACGACATTCTGAGCCACTTGTGCAAGCTAGGGATACTGCTCGTGCCAAACGAAACACCAGAGATCGCCTAGGGCCCAAGTTCAAAGCCATCGCTAGCATCCAAGCAAAACAGGCTGGCACTGGATTACATGTGCACCCTGGGAGCCTGGGTTCCGCCGGAGGGTTTCCTTTTGTTTGCGTCAGATGCAACAAGAAAGTTTCGTATCCCACAGATTCGTGCTGCCCAAACAACATGCCTAGTAAGAGCCGCGATGTGTCTAAGCAGGGTCGCAGAGTTGTTTGGAAGGCCATTTTGGCCAAAGCCAACAAGCAAGCCGCAGCGGCAAAGCTGTGCACGGTCAAAGAGCAGAGAGCACAAAGGGCGGAAGCAAACAGATTGCAGACACAAGATAGAGAGCGAGAAGCTATTGCTGTCCAAGCTTCAAAACCTGATCCGTTAGGGAGCCTGCCTGTCTTTCCCAAATCGCAGGGAGGTGTCTGGTGGAAATGTCCCTGTGGTGTGATTTTGCTATCCAGAGTACGGTACAGCGTGTTTCCAAATCGCGCTTTAAAAAGCGGCACCTTGAAAGGGTTCATGCCACTCAAAATACCAAAATGTCGTCAGGCAACTTGCTTGAACACCCGACCAGATTTTTGAATGCCAGGAGCACCTTCCAGTCGAGGTGGAAGACATTTCATGGTTTTTTCCAACAGCTCAAATGGAAAGGGGCGCACGACGTCCCATGTCAACATGAGTTTTCTAGGACATACATCAATACCAGAGGCATGTCGGTGCAAGTCCCAGTTTATAAATGCAAAGCCTGCTCTAGGCACGTGTCTAGGCCATCCCTGTCCATCAGCGTTTGTCCTCGTTTTGTCGGTAAGTCTCCTTCCCTTGAAAAAAGGAAGAAAATTTGGCAGACTTGTCGTAAAAGAACTGTCAAAGCTGAAGGAAGCGGAGATGCCAGTGCCACCAAGAGAAAACGTTTACAAGGCCTCCGTGGCGTGCACCTTGGTGAGGCATCACACCCAGGACCATCTGATTTGCACGCGTGGTCACAAAATATTCGCTCTTGGCAAGCGCATGGCACAGACATGCTCACACATGCCAGAGATGCTAAGGTCCAGCTTGTTTTCATGCAGGAGCATAACATTTCACACATCAGCATTCCCTCTGTTTCGCAAATTTGTAGGCGTCAGCAGTGGCAAGCTTTGCTTGTTCCAAAGCCAGTTAAATCCAATGGCGGAGTCGCTGTCTTCTGCCACGAATCATGTGCGCTCACTGAGGTCAGGCGCATCAGCTCCGAGTCGGGGCAGCTGATTCACGCTGTGCTGCATGGGGGGCAACGGGACATCAACGTCCTCTGTATTTACCGGCACCACAGTGATGCCGATTTTGCCATTTTGCATGAAGCCGCGCTGATTGTTAGCCGCCTAGGTTCTCAAGATTGGATCCTTGCCTTAGATGCCAATGTTAACATGTCACAGGGAATTGCTCATGATATCCTTGAAAATATGGGTGGCACCAGGTGTTCTGTTGCTCGACACGACCGGAGTGTTCACCCAATTGATGCAATTTGGTCTTCGGGAGGGCTTCAAGCCTCCAGTGCCTCCGAAATCCCAGGTGATGGAGACCACACCATCGCACAGAGCTCCTTTCCCCTTGCATTTCAAAAATGTAAGGCGCCACAGTGCCTTTTTTCGCACACCCGCAAAAAAGTGGTTCCCCAGCAAAATGTTTTACATCCTAGTAGTTTGTGGTCATCGGTGGCGGCCGCCGAAAGTGATTGGTCGCAAGCGCTGCTCAACATCGACAATTAATGCTTGGGCCATGTGGTGTTTTGACATTGAAAATTATTTGGTTCAGGCCGGCCTTCTAGATAGCCACCAGCATGAGAGAAAGGTGGGTGACGCGCCCACGGTCCGCACAGGGTCTCATCGCGTGGGTGCTACTCAGTCAATCACGGAAAGACATTTGCGTAGATTCATTCGCAGGCTTCATGAAGCGCGCACTCTTGCTTGGAGACGCATGCGTATTCCACACACGCTGTATAAGAAATTACTTGGCACAAATTGTCCAGCATCTGAACAGGAGGCTGTGAGAGCACATGCTTGGGGGTTGGCCCACCAAATTGCCACCGTGAGACTCAGGCAGCTCCAAGATGCACACCGCAACGATGCACTTCAGAAATGGCGCGCCCGAATGCGCGATCTCCCACAAGCTTGTCAGTGGCTCAGGAAGGAAGAAGCTGCACCACTGGCTTTCAAAGATGTTGATCATAGTATTTTGACCTCCCCCTAAAATTGTCGAAAACGTGAAGCATTTTGGACAAACGTTTTCATTTTGGTTTTCAGGAATTCGCTGCAGATGTTGACGCTTTCCTTTCGGCTTATCAGGATGACTTCCCTGATCCTTTACCCACACCTAATCTTCCGCCCATCACAGGAGAGGACACGCTCAGGGCAGCTCGCCAAATGCACAGAAAAGCAGCTGGCTTGGATGGAATTTCCCCTTCCTGGTTAGCATTGCTGCCGTGTGAGGCACATAGGCGGCTTGCAGAGATGTTGGATGCCTTTGAGCAACAGGGGGCGTGGCCGGAAGCCACTTGTTACTGGAAGATCGCTGCCCTGCCTAAGAAAAGGCATGGCACTTTGCCTTCCTTGGGTGAAGTCAGACCAATCGCAATCGGCTCAGCCATCTATCGTATATGGGGCAGAATCAGATTGGGCCATCTGGCTCCCATTCTAGCTCAATATCTGGATCGGAACCAGTCGGGGGGCATCGGCGGAGAGGACGTCTCCTCCCTTCTATTGACTTTGGACATCGATCTGGATCCCACAATATTTCCGTGCCTCATGGCACTGGATTTTACCAAGGCTTTTGACTCTTGCGATTACACTTTGGCTCTGGCCGTCATGTCCCGGCTTGGCCTTCCTGCCCGTGTGGTCAACCTTTTGGGAGCGCAATGGCGGCGGCAGAAACGTTGGATGTCTTTTGCAGGGGTGTGCGCGCGGCTCCCTATCCAAAATTGTTTAGCTTTACCCCAAGGAGATCCCTGGTCTCCCATAGCAATGTCACTGGTTCTCATGCTTGCGAAGCGGCACCAAGAGAGGTTGGTTCCGGAGTCCAGATGCTTGCTGTACCTCGATGATCGCACGCTTGTTGCTCCCACTCCCGGCATCCTGGCCGCAGCTCTTAATGCTTGGAATGTGCTGCATGTCCACACTCGACTCCGCACTAATTCCAGCAAAACCCAAGTGCTGGGGCGAAATTGGAAGGGGCATCTGGCGTTGCAGGCGGCTAACCTGTCGCCGACTGCCACGGCTGAAGTGCTGGGTGTCACCATTGGCATCGCGCCCAGAGCTCAATCCAATGCTGAACTGTCCCGTGCCAAAAAATGCAGAACGATTGCTCAGCGTATTAGTGTTTTGCTGGTATCCCAATCCTTCCGGGCCGGCCTCGCGGCCCTTACTTTAGCTTCCAAGAGGGTCTGGGGGCTTTTACTTAATGGAAGAACTCCTACCAAGGGGGAATGCAAGGCGCACACTGAGGATTATCGCCTTGCAGTTAAAGGAAAATTTTTGGATGGCATTGCTTCCAGGCATTTGGAAAAAGTCTTGTTGCTTGGGCACTCATCTGACCTCCTTTACCTTTCTTGCCAGCGTCTTTTGAACGCCCTCACTAAGTGGCGTCACCACCATCCGGGGAATTGGTCCCACAAGCCTAGTAATGTGATTTCGGCTTTGAACGTTGCTCTCTCCAAGCTGGACCTTCAGTGCGACAGCTGGGGCCGCTGGTCCTGGAGTGGGGGGTGGTGGGACTCCGCATCCCCACCTGATTTCGCACCTCGCATGGCACATTGTTTTAGGCAGTTTTGGCGTGCACGTGAGGTCAAAGGGTGGCTGGCATCTGACCGCAATGATGCCAAGCTGGCCCGGGCAAACAATTTGGCTATTTCTGATTACCTAATCACTAAGCTTCACCGGGCTGCCACAGATCTGTCCGCGCATGAGATTGGAATCATGTCCGGTGCTTTGAAAACTGACGCGAAAGCGTCGTCACCACCTATGTTTTGCCATGAATGTAAGAAACATCAGTGTCCTGACACTTTCCATGTGCTTTGGCAGTGTAGCCACTGGGACCACCTGAGACGTGTCCCTCCCAGCAGATGTCCTATGGTCAACAGGTTAGGCTAAAGTCCTGCAGAAATCGACCTTGTTCGTGTGAAACAATGCGCGCAGATCCGGGAGCAATTGTGCAAAGTCCAAGCCGGACGCAACTACTCCCGTCCTGAGCCTTTTGACCTGGGCCAGAACAATTTGGATCCTCACATTGTTGGTGGGGAGGGCGTGCTTGCCCTTCCTGAGGTGTAGAGGGTCCGGGTGTGGGCGGCTTAACCCCGGGCCAATTTGGCCGTGCCAGGTTGTCGCCAGAAACCACAAACAAACAAAACATGCAGTACATGTTCGGCCATGCCGAGAACTTCAACCAGCCGATCGGGTCCTGGAATACTGCGGCGGTGACAGACATGCAGTTCATGTTCGGCGAAGCCTACGACTTCAACCAGCCGATCGGGTCCTGGGACACTTCGGCGGTGACTAACATGCAGTACACCCTCGGGGGGGGGGCGCGGGTGACCGCGCGGGAATTGACCTGGTTACAAATTCCCCCCCACAACAGGCCACTTACCCCGCTCCACTGCCTAACACGCAGTGGTGAGCGTTAGAGATGACCGGGGCAGCGCCGGTAAAACGGAAGGTGGCTACGTTAATGCACCGCCCAGTGTCACGCTAACACCGTGGCCACCATTCTGTGGTGCCGGGACCCTGGACTGGGCACAGCCAGCCACCAGACTGGCAAACCGCCGGCTACCACACCGTAACACTGGCACAGACCAGCTCCAATTGGCGCAAGCCATACATCACTTTGCAAAATACAACGTACCGATGTGGGCTCTGCCCCATCACACCCAGTTCACTGGGACCAGCACTCTCGTAGCAGCAGCAGCTGCTAAACACAGCATTTACACTGCGGCTGCAGCCGCAACACACGACGGGGTACCCGCCCGTGACCTTACCGGTCTTCATCACAAGAAACACAGTCAGCCGGCTTTTTCCACGCTTTGCGTGGGGTGCCCCTTAATCCAATGCCTTCTTGGCTCGCCAGGTTGGGTGCACTTACAACTACAAACCTAACATGCAGTACATGTTCGCCCGAGCCTACGACTTCAACCAGCCGATCGGGTCCTGGGACACTTCGGCGGTGACTAACATGCAGTACATGTTCAGCTCTGCCAAGAACTTCAACCAGCCGATCGGGTCCTGGGACACTTCGGCAGTCACAAACATGCAGAACATGTTCTACTTTGCCGACGACTTCAACCAGCCGATCGGGTCCTGGGACACTTCGGCGGTCACAAACATGCAGTACATGTTCTACTTTGCCACGAACTTCAACCAGCCGATCGGGTCCTGGGACACTTCGGCAGTCACAAACATGCAGCACATGTTCAAGTTTTGTCGGGAATTCAACCAGCCGATCGGGTCCTGGGACACTTCGTCAGTGACAGACATGCAGTACATGTTCGACTTTGCTCGGAAATTCAACCAGTCGATCGGATCCTGGGACACTTCGGCGGTCACAAACATGCAGCACATGTTCGACTCTGCTTGGAAATTCAACCAGTCGATCGGGTCCTGGGACACTTCGTCAGTGACAGACATGCAGTACATGTTCTACTTTGCCGACGACTTCAACCAGCCGATCGGGTCCTGGGACACCTCGGCAGTCACAAACATGCAGAACATGTTCAGCTCTGCCAAGAACTTCAACCAGCCGATCGGGTCCTGGGACACCTCTGCGGTGACAGACATGCAGTACATGTTCGAATATGCTTGGGAATTCAACCAGCCGATTGGCTCCTGGAACACTTCGGCGGTGAAAGACATGAAGGGCATGTTCTACAAGGCCATGTCCTTTGACACTCCGATTGGGGTTTGGGACGTTTCTTCCTTGAGACGTATCCTGTCTGAGCAGTGAAGCTGAGAAGACGCAAGGTTTTGGACCATTTTGAACTATTCTGGACCTGATTTTAAGTAATTTGCAAGTGTTTTATAGTTGAGATTGCCTTGCAGCCGAGGCCATGGAAACATGTTCAGCAATGCATATTTGATACCGCCGTGCGAAGCAGGACGAGCTCCAGGCAGAAACAATCTGATGTGCGAACGTTGCGGAGTGGGGCTATACGCACCACCAGCTCGAAGCTTCTGCCAGGAATGCCCTGAAGGTGGGAAAAACTGTTCAAAAATGCACAAGTTAAGAAGTTGGTGTCAAGGTTAAAAGGTTGCACAGGTGAACACAGCCATGCTATACACATCTATATTGTGCTGCAGGTTCAACTCCTTCCGCAGACCGAACCACGTGTGAAGATTGTCCGATGATGCACTACTCTGTCAGTGGCATGGACGAGCGCTTGCCCTGCAACTTGCCGTTGGCTGTGGTGGACAACCGCTGCGTGTCTGGGCAGTCAACAAGAGCAATGCATGCCTTCCTTTCAAAATGTCTAGTTTTGCGATATTGCAACATTTGATGATTTGTTTGCCCAAAGATTCGTTGTCAGGGAATGGTTTTAACATGTTTTAACCACATTTGTTTTCACATCTGCCTTTCTATCTGCTAAGCCATCCCTAGCCTTGGCTTCGTTTTCCATCTTGAATTATCTTGGGGCCGAAGATGAGGTATGGTGGCACTTGCCACTCTTGGCGCTTGGCTTAGGAGCCTTGGGAGTTTGTAGTGGCTTGGTCTTTTTCTGGATTCACTCCCGAAAAGCTAAGACTAAGAATATCGAACGAATCCTGGAGGAAGTCTACATGGAACTCTGGGATGCTTGGCCGCGATGGGACTGTCATCAATTCCGGGGATATCTAGTTTTCTGATGTTTTCTGGGTACTTGCGGCTGATGAAATACGGCTGCGTAGCTCTCTCTATGCTCAAGATTAAAAAGATGAAATTGAGGCATTTTGAGGCTGAACAGTCTCACACAGATGCTGATGTGAGAGTATAGCAAGTCCTGAGCATCACATGCCGCGCGAATCTCAGGATGAACAACCAAACACGCTCGACGCATACTCGAAGAAGTTGTATGGTCTGGGTCTTCGGAAAGTCAATTTCGATCAACATATTTCAGGTATGCGTGCCTTACAGAGTCAAAGAGCCGGGGTTTCTGGGTGGCAAACAGCGCAAATTGAAACAAAAGGCATTGAAAGTGTTTCTTGTTTTTTGTTCGAGAAAACAGATGGTGCTCACATTTCCGCCATGCTCGCGGTACAGAGTCAAAGAGCCGGGGTTTCTAGGTGGCAAACAGCGCTATTGGCAACAAAGGAGTTTTGGAGCGTTTGTACATTTTGTTGAGAAAAAATGGTGATCGCATTCCATGAAGAAATGTGGAGACTTCAGAAGTTATGTTCCACTGCTTCATACTGCTTCATTATTTGTAGTCTGAGCGATCTCACGCCCAGGTGAGCATCGGATATTTGCTTTCTGCTGACTTTGCTCAACTTGCCATACAGCGCACTGGCAAGGATGATCCGACCTTCACCGATACTTGTTTCAGAACCACCTTTTTGACTTTTTGACCCCTTTTGTCAGAATCAAGGGAAGCCTTCAAAAACTAAAAGAAAACTTTGCTTCCTGTTGAGAATGTTTGATTGAGGCAGGTATGGAGCTGACCCTTCTAAGCGCAAAATTGTCTGCGCATCTTTGGACATTGCTCATCAAGAACTCACAAGAACCCAATAGTTCCAGACCTTTGGAATCCTCGCATCCAATAATTCGAGATGATTCGAGAGTTCGAAGTGTCTGCACCCAGGACATGAAAACCTGTTTTTGGCTCTCAGAGGATCCCATCGGAGAAGACATCATTTGCCCTCGGGACGGTAGACCTGGGTGTGCGTTGGTTGATTGGATACCACGGCGTGAACGCCGAGAACAAACTCATTTTATGAGTTGGACTTGGAAATACAGCCTGCAACAGGTGAAAGTCGGGATATCTTGGGAGTGTTGATGGCATTCATCAGAAACACATTGCATGTTACGAAGCGTTGTATGCACAGTACCTGTATAGTTCAGCTTTTTTGATCAATCTTAAGTTATCGAGATGCGCCAGACACTTCAAACCATGTAAGAGCGGTAAGAGGCGGTTGGTTTTCCATGTTTCAGTTGTTGGGTGTGCTTGCGAGAGTTGTTCAAATCTTCGTCAGACAGCAGCCCCACTTCTGCCAACACTCCAAGCATGGACTTAATCCCAGCACGCGTTCACTGCGGCATTGCGCTAGTCACAAAATTCACCAAAAAAAGAACGGATGTCGATTGCCTTGGTCAGCAACGCCACAGAAACGGCGGCTCATGTATAGTGGAATGTGGCACGCAGCCTCGTTCCTCATGTGTGACAATACATCCAACGCCTGGAGCCCTTTGCATCCCTTTACAGTGTTTGTTCCAAAGGGTTAGGTTTGCTTGCGTTTTCACTAGTTACCAACCCAAAAAGCGGAATCGTTTCCATCATTCCGGATGACACTCTTTTCTGTCATGGCGGGAAAGAACATTCGAAGTTGGAAAATTGACTAATTACAAACATACTGTTATTACTGGCCAAAGGAAGTTTAGTTAGAAAACTTCCGGGTCACGGACGATTGTCATGGCTAGCAGTCCCACCATCATGTCAACCGCATCATCATGTCAGCCACATCATCATGTCAACCACCCATCATCAAGTAGCTGGGAAGTGCAACAGTTCGGAAGCGCGTCAATTCACGGGTGAAAACACTCGGGCGCGAAACCCTGTGTTTTTTCGGCCGGGCAATGTGGCTCCTGGGGTCGCCGCAGTAGGGTCTCGTTTCCGCGGGTTTGGGGCTCGATCTGCAAAAGTTGTCGACAAAAAGTGCACAGGACTGCAGCGAGAGCTTGATTTGCACTTCAAAATGTTTAAAAATTGGCATGTTCGGAGCACTTTTGGAAGATGAGGGCGGCAAAATGTGGACCAGACTCTTCACAATTTCAATAAACTGAGGGTCTCGGAACACTTTTGGAAGATGAGGCCTGCAAAATGTGCACAAGACTGTAGCGAGAGCTTGATTTCACATAGAAAACGTAAAAAAAAAACAGGGGTTCGGAGCAGCGCCGGATTTGTGCGGTCGAAGTCCCAGTGTCAGCGCTGCGCGAACGTTGATCGATTTGGTGCGACGCTCCTGCTTTGCGGGCTTGCAACCGGCTGTGACAAAACGCATTGGCACGGCTGCGCGCAGCAAAGCATGAGTGATGCTGCGACGCTCCTGGCAAGCGGGGTTGCAGCTGGAGGTTGCTAATTGCATTGTCATAGCTGCGCGAAAGGTAGCTCTTGACCATAGTGCTACTCTTGTGCCATGCGGGATTGCAGCTTGAGGCTGCTAAACGCATTGTAACAGCTTCACAAAGAGAAGAATTGGGTTGCAGAAGCTACAAAAGAGTTAGCTGTGAGGCAGCTCAGAGCACAAGTATCTCAGAAAAGTGGCCGTGCTCAGAGAAGAAGTATAGCTGAGAGAAGAGGTGCCTCAGCGAAAAGATCGCTCGGTGAAGAAGTGGCTGAACAAAGAAAAGTAGCTCGCCCATCCATCCATCCCTTCGTTCATTGCTTCATTGATTCATTGGTTCACCGAATCACCGAGTTGCTGAGTCATTGTGTGACGGAATCGTTTCTCATCCGTTCATTGCTCCATTGATTCGCTGAGTCATTGCTGATTCATTCGTTCGTTCGTTCACTCATTCATTCATTCATTCACTCACTCACTCACTCATTCATTCATTCATGCATGCATGCATGCATTCATTCATGCATTCAGTCAGTCACTCATTCATTGGTTCATTCATTCATTCATTCAATCATTCATTCATTCACTCACTCACTCACTCATTCATTCATGCATTCATGCATTCATGAATGCATTCATTCATTCATTCATTCATTCATTCAGTCATTTCATTTCATTTCACTTCACTTCATTTCATTTCATTTCATTCCATTCATTCCATTCATTCCATTCATTCCATTCATTCCATCAAGACCATTCATTCCATTCATTCCATTCATTCCATTCATTCCATTCATTCCATTCATTCCATTCATTCCATTCATTCCATACACTCACTCACTCATTCATTCATGCATGCATTCATTCATTCATTCATTCAGTCATTTCATTTCATTTCACTTCACTTCATGTCATTTCATTTCTTTTCATTCCATTCATTCCATTCATTCCATTCATTCCATTCATTCCATTCATTCCATTCATTCCATCAAGACCATTCATTCCATTCATTCCATTCATTCCATTCATTCCATTCATTCCATTCATTCCATTCAGTCCATTCATTCCATTCATTCATTCATTCATTCATTCACTCATTCATTCATTGGTTCATTCATTCATTCACTCACTCACTCACTCATTCATTCATTCATGCATGCATGCATTCATTCAGTCAGTCACTCACTCATTCATTCATTCATTCAATCATTCATTCATTCATTCACTCACTCACTCATTCGTTCATGCATTCATGCATTCATGCATTCATGCATTCATGAATCATTCATTCATTCATTCATTCAGTCATTTCATTTCATTTCACTTCACTTCATTTCATTTCATTCATTCATTCATTCATTCATTCATTGATTCATTGATTCATTCATTCATCAACTCACTAAATCGTTCATGCATTGATTCATCGATTCATTGGTTCACTGGTTGCTTGCTTCATTGAGTCATTGCTTTGTTGCTTCATTGATTCAGTGATTCAATGACTCATTGATTCATTGGTTCATCCATTCATTGGTTCATTGGTTCAGTCATTGAGTTGTGCACGGACTTTTTCATGCCATTTCATTGGCATCTCAACAACCATTTGTTCATTCGCTGATGCACCTCACAACTTCAGCCCTTCGTTGTTTCTGCATCGCAAAAACTTTCCTATAGGCCATTGATTACCTATAGTTTTTTTTCTCGATACTTCCGCCCCGGCATGGGCCGAGCATTACTGGTAATGCGGCAAGTGGCTGAATATAATTGACGTTTGGGTAGGGAGGTATGTGTTTGCTTTCCTGCCGGTACCAAGTGCATAAGGATTTGGGATTAAGCTGGCACAAAAAAACCTGAGTTCGGAGCGTAAGACTTGGAAATATCACACGGACTAAAGCACTTCTTAATTTCTCGCATTTTATCGGAATGTTGCTTCCATTTTCTTTCATGTAGTCTGTTTCCACGTTCCCCTTCTGTGTTCACAGACTGTTTTGATGTTTCCTTTCCGACCCAGTTCAATGGCGCTGTGTTTTTTTTGTTTACCATCGTTTGTTCCACGCTTAAACTGATGCGCAAAAAAACTGTGGACGCTTGACGATTATACAGCCTGTAGCAGCTAGCAAAGAAAAAATTGTTTGTTTTATTCGATTGATTCTGATGTTTTATGTTGAACCGTGTTGAACGTTTTATTCAGGAATGTTCAGGTTTCAATCTTCCGAAATTTTTGCAAACATATTCAAAAGTGCACATAGAAACAACCATGTTTGCCCAAACAATCGCATGCAGGTGCGGAGCGCTTTGGGAACATTTCAGGAAAACCTGGTTGGCCCCTGTTACTTCTTCATGTGTTTTTTTGCCAACAACCAGTACAGAATCCTGGTTGAAGAGAGCAGCAGTGGCAGCGACAATCTGGAAGAGGTGTTCGAAACAAATCTGAAGAGGATTGGAAGAATGGTTGCGATTCTGGACACTTGGGATCAACCCACATATTTGACTCGTGTGTGGACTGTCTATGAGCAATTTGTGGCTTCCACGATTCAGATTGAAGCGACGGTTGGAAGATGTTGGAATCATCCCAGTTTTCCGAAACTCGGATCATTTGCAGCTTTTTGGAAGGCAGATGAAGATAGATGAAGGCAGTATAGGTCTGCGTATTTTACGTTACTTAAGCATTTTTTAGGCTCAACAGGCTCAGCACCTATACGTCAATGCCAGGCCCAAGTCGGCACATGTTTTTTTCCAAATCTTTCCACCACTTGTGCCTGCCCCAGGTGGAGTTTATCATGCCAAAGGATGCATCAGATCATATGCAGCGGCAGATCGCACAGGGCTCCGACGGCATCGATGAGGTCATCGAAGCTATCAGTCAGGTCGACTCGGAAGAAGCCAAAGCTTGGAGTATTCAGGATGAGATCAAAGTGAAACTTATCACGCAATGGGATGATTCGATGTTTCTCACACCACAAATGGACATCCGTGGTGACTCTTGTGCTTCGCTGCGCCATGTTGAACCGTTTCCAAGGAAGTCCCTGATCCAGGCGCTGGAAGGGAAGGGAGAAGACTTGTTCGAAACAGATACAGTGACAGCTGATACGGCAGTTGGACGACTCGTGCTATGGCTGTGTTTAGGGCGTGTGTTTTTGGAACTCAAGAATCCACACCAGGTGTTCGCCTGCATGTTCACGGCACGTCGATAGGGACTTTCAATGAAGTTTTTTACCAAGTGGGGTTGCAGGTTTAGCAAGGCACCTGGAGAATTTTGCTTGGTCTTACAGTCTTAGGCAAGATAGCAGCAATATCCTTGTAATGATGTCAGATTCCAATCCCGGGTTCAAGGGCTCAACCTATGTTGTCCTCAGCTGTGAAGGACAGCGTTGGCTTCGATCATGTGGACGCCCACGTGACGAATGTCATGATCGGTTGGATCGGGGGAGTTGTGAGGCAGACATGCCGAGAGTTGCTAGCCTTGCATAAAAAACTTCCGTTTCAATGTTGGACTGCGCAAAATAGGCTTCAGACATATTCAGATGCTGACAATCCGATACTAGGTCAGAGTGGTCAGATAGACAGATTTAACGATTCATGGCCAGTAGTTGCTTGACATATTGAACTTCAGCTTTACCGACTTTTTTCCGGGAGGTTTGTGTGCTGGAACGAGAAATTGAACTCGAATTTACAGATACTTGATAGATACGTGGAGGTCGACGTCAAAGACACAAGACATTGCATGAGTACTCCTATAGGCCCTATGCATTGGATGCCAACATTGCATGTTGTATGAACAGCAAGCGGTTTGCGGTCTGCTTCATGTGTTTGAGCAATCTTTTTATGTAGAGTTCTGTCAATGAAGGCTTTGACATGTAAAGTTCGTTGCAATTTCTTTTCCACCTTGACTTGTCCACATTAACTTGTGAGCTTCCACTACTCCGAGTTGAGATGCTGTAGCTTGGTGCCGGTGCTTCTCTGGCTGCCAAGGCTGCTGGATAGGGCGCGTTACGAGAAGGTCTTGAAGAAAAGAGATCGCCGTCAGGCGCGCCGAGAAGCTCTGTGATGTTGTAGACGGCCATTCTTCATGTCAAGAAATTCAGCTGAAAGAATCAGAAATTGATGTTTAGCGACCAAATGCTGAGCTGATTGCTGTCTGTATTTTCTGAGTGATGGTGTTTTTGCATAGTTTTGCATATATCACTCTTGCTGAACAGTTCGAGAGAGCACACATGGTACTGGTCCTTCCCAAGGCTGCTGGTGACCAGCGCAGAAAGCGGATGTCTCTGTGATGGTCAGGCCAATGTGTTACATTGTCATGTGTTCTCAGGGAAGTGGATTGAAGTGGTGGTCAGGTGCCGAAGACAGATGCATGGATTCCACATGACGTCAATAATTATCATCAATATCCATGTTTTTGCCCAGATATGCCCAGACCATCTAGACAAGTCAGCTGCAAACACTGCGGAGGTATCGAGCCGCACCAGCGATTTATTTCGCTGGCGAAGTTTTTTCCAGGCCTGGGGTTGCCGCAATTGGCTCGTGCAAACCCAAACATGTGATTTGTCACCGCTTTTCTTGTGGACAATTGTCGCAAACCATACCACATCTTTGAGTTGAAATCGGCCGGCCGTTTTGCATCTGATTTCATCAGCGGCATGTATTAATTGATAATAAATGATACTATGATTGATAGTAATTGTATTTATTTGTCATGTTTCCAGCGTTCCGGTTGCGATTTCTTTGTGTGGCCAGGCATCTACTTCAGGTACCCAACAAACTGCCAATTTTGAGCGCTGCCACACGTGCAGCAGACTTCATTGGCCACCAAGATGTCAATCAATTTGAGAATGGCATGCAGTACAGATGGCTTCATCGGATCAGTTGTAGCTGTTGATCGGTTCCACCCGAAATTTCAAATTGTAAATCAAAGCATGATTCTATCATTCTGTGGTGATTCTGGTGTCGGACATCCTTGTGATATCAGTGATATCTTTATTTGACATTTAACTGATCCAAAGTCACATTTTGTCATAGATTCAAGCGCCTAATCCCCGTTTTGGAGACCTGTTGGGCCTTAGGGGTCAGACCAGTTCAGAAGCACAGCGCCATTCTGGTACCCACCAGTGGTGCCTTGAAACAGTTTCGTGCATCTCGCCGCTTCCTCGTCCAGCCTCTTCCCGCCTCCTGCTCTTTTCTCTATCACACTTGTCTCTGTCAAACCTATCTCTATCAAATTTGTCTCGATTCAGCTTGTGGCTATCCAACTTGTCTATCAAGCTGACTGCTGCAAACCGTCAGTTTCTGTTGGTAACGTGCCAATTTGTTGCTGCAGTGTATCCAGGACATTGATGTGTTGCACTAGGCTACTGGGTGGCCTGGGGCGGTCAGCTTTTGTAGCCAGGATTGCCTCATGACGTTTCCGCAGATATCGCTGCTCGAGAGCAACTGGCAGGACGGAGCAACAGTGCCCAGTTGGCTTTGAGCATTTGCACCATGATTGAACATGTGAAAAGTCCGGAGGCACTTAGTGCTTCTAAGTGGCATGTAAGTGGTTTGATGCCACTGAAACCAGGTCCTTTTCCTTTGTTCTAATTCTAAAAGCTGGCTCAACTAGAGCTTCCAGTGATTTTTCCTGCAGGAGCTGGCGGATTGTCTGACAAACTCAGCATGTTTCACCCGTTCACATCGCATGACAAGTGATCAGAGAAAAGGCTGCTGTTGTTTTGAGGCATTTTGAGGGCCTGTCATTGGTGAAGATCAAGAAGCTTGACGAACATGCCATGTAAATCAAGACAGAAACCATGCCATTCTGTTCAGTTCAGTGCGAAAGTAGCCTCCGGTCATCAAGGCCATGGCAATGGAAAATCCCCCATTTACAAAACCAGTAGTATCTGAATGTATCTGAATGTATTTGAATGTATCTGAATGTATCTGATAGGGGATTTCCCTTGCTAATGTTGGATTCCCCAAGGGTCATGATGGTCATGAAGCAGCCAGGGTTGCCTCTCAGCGGTGAGCTCACCATGCCCAGGGCGGCGATAGATCAGAGCCATGGCACGGTGGTATACCGTTGAATTTGTGTTGTTCCTTGGCCCTGAGTTTATCACTGATTTATTGACTGAACCTGATTTATATGTTGTTGATTCTTTGTTCGACATTCAAAAGATGTCAGGATGTTTGCCGGGCGATTTTGAAATGAGGTGGTATCTCATCATTTTGAAGGTCTATTGCCGAAAGTTACCAGATGCTGCTGCAGAACTGGCCGAAATGTGCAATCAGGACAGAAGGTGCGGACACCAGAAATGTCCGGCATATTTCGGTCATGTGGATCTTGGTGGTGGTTGATCTGCAGGTGTTCCTCCTACCTTCACCATTCGTACTTCTGGCCCAAGAAGCTCGGCTGGAAGTTGCAACCGGAAAGAAAAATCGCCAGAACTCACTGTATCAGGTACCCCATAGACCTTTCAGATATTCAATGGTGCCGTGCTCAGCATGGAAATTACTCCTGGTCTGGGCATTGGAGCAGAACCGCAAGACTTGCACCCAGCAGATGTCAAATCAGGCGAGAATACAGAAAGGTCTTGCCGTTGCTGTCCTTAGCAGCAGCTGCACACATCTTGGCACGTCAGAATCTGAGTGCAGCTTGAGCTCTGAGTTTTTTGTGGTGAGCTCAATCTGGAGTGAAAGGCTCAAGCTGCAAATTGTGATGCCAGTGAGGTGCTGCTTTGGGACGTCGCAGGACTTGATGTTACATGATGTTCCAGTTATGACACTTTTTGATGCCGGAATAACTGCCACATATTTTCTTCATCAGAATGTCACTTGCAGTTTCGTTCCAGGATCTGGCCATGTTTGATGCTCTCCGGAGCCTTTGTTCTCTACGTGCAGCTCGGCATCCATGCTGTCGTACATCGTGAATTAGATCAAGTTTAGGTCATCCTGGAAAAAGAAGGCGGACCTATCACCAGTTTTGAAAAATCTGGTTGGTGGTTTGGAACATGATGTTTCCATACTATATGGAATAATCATCCCAACTGAGTATAACTGAGTTTCATATTTGTCAGAGAGATTGAAACCAACAACCAGATATGTTTTGATATGTTTTGATATTTCAAAAGATGACCCTAGGCATGGTGCTCACACCATCTTTGTCATTGCAGCGTGCTTTGGTTCCTATGCTCTTGCCAAAGTCTGTGGCATCTTGGCACAGCATTTGTCAATTTGAATTCTGATGTGCTTGCAGATATCAGAAGGTTGCCCAGTTATACATGAGTTCTTTTAATCTCCAAGAGTCAAGAGTCAGCACATGATTTCATCTTCACATTTTGTCAACCTCTGAACACCTGACACTGCCTGGGCTCAAGGGTTTGGGACAAGCAGCTCCGGACCAGGACTAGGGGACCGGGCCAGGTGCCACCGGCCAAGAGATCGCCGGATCCATCAATTTTTTGTGCCGAGTTTCGATGGCGTACCGCGACCGCAGCGACCGCGACGTGGCTTGTGAGATTCCACTGAACGACGAGCTGCTGACGAGCTTCAGTGGCCGGGGCCGTCGACGCCTGCGAGATCTCAAGCAGCAAACAGAGACGGTCCTCAAGTTGGACAAGAACAAATCCTGCCTTCAGGTGCAACCAGTGCGGGTGTTATCATATGATGTGTTCATGATGGGTTTCCACAAAAAGTAAAATGTTTGACTCCCAATCTGATCGCCATGGTCATCGTTTCAGACATGCTCAAGGTGCAGAGTCCTGTAGAAGTTCGCCTGTAATTTGTCTCACAAGAAGATCTCCGGTTCCATTCATCAAACACCAACATTCCCCATTTGCGTGAACAGCAACCATCCCAACATGTATTGCTATGAGCTTGCTTTGTTTTCTTGCTATGTTTTCCGCAGTTCTTGCTCTGAAAACCGAAGCTGCCAGTGACAATCAGTTCTGACCAGTTCTGTGATTTTGGGTAGTCATGGCGGGCAGCAGCATGACCATTTTCGTGGTGTTCATCCTCTCACGAGCACTGCATCCGATGGTCATCGACTATTCCAAAGTTGATGGGCAGCTTCTCTACTCCAAGAACTCACCTGCCATCATGTCGCAGATTCTCTCAGTGATTTTCGTGAACTTCCTTGCTTGGCAAGAGGAAGGTATGAAAGGAGTGAAAGCCTGTTGGGCCATTCCTGATGGCGCTTCCGTCTTCATCGTCATTGGTTTGTGGTATGCCTTCGGAGACTTTCTGGAGATGCTGTCCATGGGGGCCATGAATGGTGGCGTCTACCAGTTATTGCTCCAATCCAAGCTGCTGATCACCGCAGTGATGATGATACCCCTGAAAGGCACCACTCAGAGCCCCTTGCCGCGATGGCAGTTGATGAACACTTGAAATTGATCCAAGAACATATAAAGAAGACCGTTGCAGATTGGCTAGATCCAGCATTTTCCAGCCAGCATTTTCCCATCAGTTTCCCAATTTTCTTGGCAACATAATCCATGATTGATTTTATACACCCTTCATGCTTCATACCGTCCTTCAGCAGCATAGCATCCTCCATCAATGGGTGTATAGATCGATATATAGTCCAATCATAAATATTCACAGCACATAATAAATCATATGTATGCCATGCAATATCACAATGGAATGTCATATTGATGAAAACATAGATACATGACATACATACGTATGTATACTAAACACTACAATAACAATGTACATGTACTACATACAATATGCACCAATATGACTAATTCATAATAATATATTATTCAGGCCTATCTTTTCGGGGAATTAGTTTGTTCCGTGTTGGACATTTTTTTGGGATATGTGTTTCCCTGCTTCTTTGCTTTTCTGCTTCCCTATGCTTCCCTGCTTTTTATTTTTCTGCTTTTCTGCTTTTCCCTGCGTTTGCTTTTATGCTTCCTTTGCTTCTCTGCTTTTTGCTTTTCTGCTTCTTTGCTTCGGCTTCTCCACTGGTTTCTGCGTTTTTGCTTCTCAAGCCTAAATAAACCCCCAAGATGCATAGTATAAATACACCCTAAACCAACCCTAACTTCCAGCTCCAAAATGCTGCAAATTGCAAAGAAAACGGACAGAACAGCAGATTAAAACAAAAAAAACAGAAAAAAAAAACACAACAATTCCGGACCCATAATATATAGTATACACAAAAATAGATATATATATATAGAGTATATGAATTTCGGAATATTTGGCTGCTAGGTGAACTGCAGTGGAATGTGTTGATTGCCGCCACTTTGGCCATTTCGGCCTTCGTCATGGTGGACTCCGGGGGCAAGGACGATGCCGGGATTCCGGTGATGGGCGTCGTGAGGATCTCAGTGGATGCCGTGGATGCTGGGAAAATGGCTGGAAAGCTGGGGAAATGGATGGGAAAATGGTGGGAAAATGGATGAAGAACTTGAAACATTCAGGAAAATGTGATGAAGTCCTGGAAAAAATAGGGGTAAACGGGAAAAACACTGAGTTCAATGGGGAAAAATGAGCAAAATGAAATGAGATGTAAGACGGTTTCCAAAGGAAGATGGAACGTCGAATGTTCAACAGATTTCTGAGTTCAACAGGAACATATGTTCAAGGTGCTCATGAGTTGTCTCAATGTTAGCCAATATTCGTATAAATTTTGGATCATCAATGGATCTTCGATGCAGGTCATGGTGCTCTTCAAAGTGGCAGTGAGTTGCTACGCTGCCGTGCTATCGGATGCCAAGTTGAAAGGTTTCAACAACATGTCGATGTCGGCCAAGCTGTCCTTGATGTCTTTGTCTCGTGTCATCGCATCCGTGGGCATTGCGGCAGTCATGGAACCTAATGCGCAACCATCCTTCAGAACGGATGCAGTGGGATTCTTTGATCATTGGACCATGGCAACGTGGATTGTTACAGTGTCCTTTACCAGCAAGTCCTTGATCACGTTGTACCTTTTGAAGTCCTTGGATAGCATCCAGAAGAATGTTGGCGAGGTGCTTCTCTCAATTCTGCAAAACTTCATTTTTCTTCAGTTCTTCTGAATCTGCTATGTTTTCTGTTTTGTTTCACCTTGTAGTATATTCACCTTATAACTTTATAGATTTTATAGCCCTTATAATCCACAAATATCGTTTCACCAACCATTTCACCAACCATTTTCCCCAGCAGAGTTAGAGTGCGAGGCCCTGGCAGTGATCGTGATTTTCATCGGACAAATTGCCACTGGCGCCGACGTCTTTGACCTCTGCGCCTTTTTGCTGGCCGTGCTCGTCGTCATCCTGGTGCGCATCTATGGCCTGGCCGGCAAGGTGGGTTTAGGGTTCACAACATATTCCCATTACACTATAGATATCCATATAATATTATATATATATTATGATATTTCATATACCATGGGAATATTCCCATTACCACAACATATTGGGAATATCTAGGGACATGTTCATATTCCATATATTCCAATAACCTCTTAAACATCAGCATCGAAGCTCATGAAACATTCTGTCACCTTTTTCTGTGATCAACTCGTCCAAGTGTCTCATCTTAGGTGAAGGCAAAGGCTCCCGAACCAGTGGGACCTACCCCAGTCATCGTGGGGAAGGGCATCAAAAACAGCGACTCGCCTGTGTGAGCCAGGAGGGCCAACAAAAAGGCATCCGATGACATCTGTTGGCGAAATGGTCAATGGCCAGAAATACCGGAAGATTGAAACCATGGTTGATGTTTGATGGTTGATTGTTGAATATTGTTGATATATCATGTTTTCACATATGTTTTCTTGGTATTCTCAGGTTGGGGAGCTGCTTTTGCAGAAGGCCAATGGCCGATGGCCGACTTGTAACTCCATGCAAATGGCATGGATAGCCTGCGGCATCGGCAGTTTTTGGAAGCGCTAGATGCTGATGCTGATGAGCACAGAATCCAGTACAGCAGTAGTACATCCAGTGCTACAGGGTTCCAACATCTCGTTCCAAAGTTTATCAAGGTTTGAAGGCATCGAACGGAGGCCCTGACCCCGTCAGAATGGCCGTTCACGCCTAGTGGGTTGCAAATCGATCAGGCCAAACATATCCAAAAATCATACAAAGTAGAGAAAGGACGCGCATAGCATGGGGTGTTTTTATCTTTTTTCCATGTTTGCAGTATTTTACAGTTCTGTTTTAAGATGCTCAAATGTTGTGTTCAGAAACGAACCAAATTCAAAAGGCCTTGACGTCGACAAATCTGCTTCTGAACGATGATTGATGTGGGGACTGGGTGCAATCCACTCGTAGCACTGAGAGTCGAAGAGTTTGCTTTGAGTGGGGAAAAACGGAAGTGATGTACTCAATACCAGTCACGGAAGTCGTAAGGAAGTCACAGTGATCCGCCGGCATCTCGAACTTTGATGCGGTGTATTGGATGCTCTATTCGATGCAGGATTGATATTAGGGACTGTATCAAAACATGTCAAAACCAAACAAATACTGGTTGGTGGTTTGGAAGATTTTTTTCCATATATTGGGACTGTCATCATCCCAACTGACTAATATGTTTCAGAGGGATGGCTCAATCACCAACCAGAATACCATTTGAAAATGTCTGACTAGAGAGGCTGCCGTCATATGCCATGGTCAGGAGTTGGATGAACCCATCGAGAATTGTCATCAATGATTCCCCTTGATTCCCCCATTTTTAATAGGGATCCGTAATATGGGATATATGACCAACTTATACCATATGACCATGTCACATATGAACATAGGTTCTTTGAGCAAGCCTCAAAAAGATAGAGAACAGTCATCTAAGTCATCTATCATCAATATCTATCACTACTAAGCATCTTTCTATTTTTGGGGGACGTTGTTTTCCAATCTTCATCCAAAGTCCATCCATCCATAGCAGCATTCTCCAGGTGCGGGGAAGCGAGAAGTCCATTGCGAATCTTCGACAACACTTGGAAACGCTCATAGGCGCTGGGGATTCTCTGAAGAGGGCTGGCCAATAGATCCCAAATACTACCCTCTGGTAAACTAACATAGCTATTGAAAATGGCCATTTATAGTGGATTTTCCCATTAAAAATAGTGATTTTCCATAGTTATGTTAGTTTACCAGAGGGTAAACAAAAAATATATGAGGGTTTCTTAAAATGGGGGTAGCCCTAAATCATCCATTTTAGATTGGGATTTTCCATGAAATAAACCATCTATTTTCGGATATGTATCCCTATTTATGGAAAGCCTCATATGCATAAATATATCACCATGAAATATCATGACTAACATGAAAATCCACTCTTAATACTAAAAACTATAAGATATAATCATGTCGCTTATGTTCAATTAATATCAGAAACACCATCAAACACATGGTTTCAAAACAGATGAAGATAGCAAACATAGTATGTCCATTACTGTTATTGCCATAGTATTCGTACTGCTGATATCAAAATTGCAATGTTTACCACCATCACTTGCCCTAAATATCAATCATATTATAGAGTGAACTGCCATAAACGTATCAACACATTTGAATCACAAGGAATCAAATATCTGTGTGTAATATTACCGTAATATTTTTCTGTGAGACACCATTATGACCTTAACAATGATGGGAACACCATCAGGCCATCGTCGCCCGATCTCTGCACCTGTTTGGGCTGAGCTGATGCGTACGCGAACACAAACCACACCGGATGCGGCGATTCAATACATCCAGGAACTGGGGAGAATCGGGTGAAATTTGAGGAAATTTGGTGATTTTGTACAGGATTTAGTAGGGAGTTAATTACTGCGGGATTTATGGTGGATTTATTGGGATTTATGGTGGAATTTTGTACAGGATGGGGCCCCCCAGTGATGTAAGAGTTGGTTTATAAACCATGAAATAATCCCCATGAAAACTAGTTCGTTATATCTACCATAAACCATTGTTAAGCCACTTATAAACCAACTTAGCTATCTTGGGGGCCCCATCCTGTAGGGAGTTGTTTTGGGATTTATGGTGGATTAATGCGGGAATTATGGTGGATCTATTGGGATTTATGGTGGATTCCTGATATTCATGGGGGATCGATTTGGGTCATAGCGCAACATGGAAATGCATCGACTTGTCGACTTGGCCAGGAGCAAAGTGGCTGTCGTGTGCACATTGAGCGACAAACACACGAAGTTCGGCTGTATGGACCTGATGAGAATTTGAAAGTGGCTGATAGGCTCCTGAAGGACGATTTTTTCGGATGTTTCTTGCTGAAAGTTTTGTCAGATGTTGCAGCAAATGGTAGGAAATGGTAGGAAATGGATGGAAATGGCAACTCCAAAATATATCAAAATATGTAGCAACTCACGGTGTTTCGGCAGGAACTGGGACGAGACACAGACTTACGCGTGGTGGAAGGTATGGTGTCCCCACAACTTCTGGAGCGTGTCGCGCTAGCCAAAGGTGTTACAATGCGAGTGCGGGATACCTTCATTGAAGTGCTTGGCAGAACATCTGCCACTGAAGAAGCCTGTGCTGAACTAGAGAAGTTGTTAGAAAGGGATGCTGAACCAGCCGCAGTCACTGTAGAGGAGGCTGAGATTCCATCAGATCCTGCAGCTCACCCAGAGAGTCCCAAGGTCTCCAAGGACAGACACGCAGGAAATGCAGGAAATGCAGGAAACATGGGCAACATGCAAACGGTAGTGATGCAAGGGCACCGTAGCGAACGCGTCGAGAATCGCTGTCCCACCTGCGGTTGTGGACGTTTCTGCGGAAGTTGTGGTGCACAGATCTGGCAGAACAGCAGCAGCAACACATTCAATCCAGCAGTCAATATGGCATCCATGGCATCCATGACTCCCGTGACTACCGTGACTCCAATGCCGGGTTATGTGGGCTATGCATCGGGTTATAGCCCGCCGAAAGATGAGAGTCCAACTCAAACCCCGGATCCTGCAGAGACAGCTGATTGCCAAACAGTGATGTTCCCCATGTTCCAGATGGGACAGACACCATACATGCTCATGCCAGCAGATTCAGGCCGGGAAAAAGACTGAGAAAAACATACTTGTAATCATATTTAGAAACTATCGCGTTTCCTCTTCACCTTCTATTTACATCTACGTGAATGTTTCCACATTTGAAGGCTTCCCCAGTTCCATAATATGTTAAAACAGCGGTGCAACCCTTCCAGGTCAGATGCAAGGCCAGTGGTATCAATTCACCGGGCAGTTCTGAGTCCGAACTCCGACTGAGACTGAGACCAATTCGCCAGGTGTCACTCCATTAAGGCACCAGGCGCGCTTGCGCTGTGGCTCACTTGGGCCGTGAAACCGTTCCCTTTCCGGTCACCTAAAAAGAAGGCCAGTTCCTGGCCAATCCATGGTGATCTTTGTACAGGAGATTGGCCGAATTTGGCGATTTTGCACTTCGCAAAGTTGAGATGGACACTGTTCTGGAACACTTTAGATGACTTTGGCACCTTTATCAGTTCAAGAATTTAGACGCTTGCAACGGCTCTTTTCGAATAAGTGTTTAATTGTCAAGGTCAAGTCCATCATAGTTCATCCAGGTTGTCTCATGGTTTTAGTTTGTTGACTGTTCCAGGTGTCCAATTTTGGAGAATTGATGTGCTTGTTCCTGAATGGAAGAAGCGTCAACTCCTACACTCCTCTCACTGACCGAGTGGCAAGTAGATGTTTGTGCTCACAGAACATGTGCACATTTTCAGGCTAGCCAATTTGCAAAGCCTTACGAAAAGATTTTCTCCTGTCTGTCAGAAAGGAGGAGTCGTGGCACCATTTCATCCAAACCATACTTGAAGTATCCTGAAGCAAGAATAAGTAAGGTACAGTTTTGGAAACGTTGAAGATATTTGAAGTTTGATTTGGAAGTTACCAAGATATGCCAAAACTAGGTTCATCCTAGTTTTGTCCCACCCTTTCTGTCAGAATAGGATTGTCCAGCGCTGTAAACACTGGGCCTATGGGGACGCGCCTCAAATCAGGCGGACCGGAAGACCGGAATACCGGAAGACCGAAAAAAAAGTTCCATTTCATCCATCGGATCAGTTGATCATTGGGCACTGTAGCCCAAAAATCGGTGGATTTACCGCGTTTTTTCCCACATTTCTGATGTTGTTTGTGGATGGTTCTGGCATGTTCATGAGAAAAAACATGAAAAAACATCATTTTCCCAACCAGATTTTCCAGGATTTTTGGGTATCCCATCATTTTCCCATCACTTGAAGTCTGTCGGAGATATGAAATCTGCCCGAGGTGTCTCACGCTGGGCGCCCTTTGTCGCCTGGGCATATGGACTGCTGATGATTGCCATCAAGCTCAGTGAGGTAGGATCGGCTGAAAAAAATGGGAAGGAAATCATCTGACATCATAAAATGATCCGAAATGATGGATCTGATAAATAGATTGATAACTTTTATTCATACGTTATCCATCATCAGATGAATTTGTGTGTGTGTGATTTTAACTACTAATAGTTATGACTTCAAATCCCTCCATAAGTGATGTTTTTTTGATAAATGTAGCCCTGATTGTCCAACATGTTTATACACTTTTGGTATGATTTGAAAACGGCTGTAGATTGCCCAAGCCAATTTTGAGGTGCGGATATCCTTCGGCTTCCTCGGCCCTTTTGGCTATTGGCTGAATGGACTCCAATCCCATGTTGCCTGGAAAACATCGCTGGTTTCGCAGTGGAATTTGGTTGGTTTTTGTGGTCTGATTTTGTGGTTCAGCAAGGATTGGCATCAATCATTGAGTCTGCTGTGCCTCAGACTCATCTCATTCAATATGGAATCTTGGCTTGTTTTGTTTCTGGTGCAGAAATTACTGTGCTCCCAAAGCTGGAATCGTGAATCAAGTGGATTTCAAATTTTATTTGCTTGAGTATGAAGCTAAATTATGAGATTTCTGTATGAAATTCTACGATTTCTGTTGAAATTGCGCTTTTTTGAGGACTACTATTGGACCCTCAAGGAGTCAGAGTTGCCACTGCGGTCCATAGCTGGCCATAGCTCATAGTCATCATAGTCACAGTGGTCATGTTTCCTCCAGGAGCTAAAAGACACAAAGGTGGATGATGCCCAGGCTGCGGCCATCTCATGTTACGTTAAACTACAAGATGGTTGGCTTGTGACTTTTGTCCATATATGACATGATGATCATGCAACTTTGGATATCGAATGTTGACCCATACACAAACTACGGTGACTTGTATGGGGCTTCCTGTCAGGCCAAGGTCACTTCAATGCCATCCAGCCTCTATAAGACAAGGGAACAGCAGTCAAGAGACTTGGAGGAGTACAACATCACCAACTGTTTGGCCTATTGTTTCTATTCACCACTGTGGTTGGCTGGACCCACCACCACCTTCAATGCCTTCACTTCGCACATTCGCGACAGGTTGGGAGACTTCTGGTTCGTCATCCACCATAGACACATGGACCATCATGGACCTTGGGAATCGGCAGGTTTCCTGAACAATCCACTGGCTGCACCGTTGTGCTCCAGGTCGCAAGAAGCTGTCGTTGGCTGGAAACTGCTTCTGTACGCCACCCGACTTCTTTTCTGCTTTGTGCTATTGGAAGTGATGTCGCTCGGCAAACAACAGGCACAATGGCAGGGAAGTCAGGAAAAAGTTGAAGATGTTCTGCCAATCTCAATGCAAGGCTCCATTCCTGCCCGGTCTGGGCCATTGGACGGTCATCACTGTACTTAAAAGTCCAGCGTCCGGATCTTTTAGCGCCGCTTGGCAGATCTGGACAGATCTGGGCATTGCAGCGATCGGGGCAGTCAAACCTGGGCCACTTTGAGGTCTTATGCCATGATGATGCTCATCGCCCAGCCCTCAGTGGCACTCATTGGGATTTTTCCCCAAAGTCGCTCGTTTCTTGAAAACGTCTCATGGAGCCTAGGCGATGTGGTTGAAATTTCTGATCATTTGGCGTTTCGCTCGTTTGTGGGCCCTTTGTGATGGAATTGAAGTTGTTGAAAACATGCAGCGCTGTGTTTGCGACTTGGCTGAAACGTTACCAAAATCAGTTTGTCTAAGAAGAAGCCCCCAAAAAAAATATGTTTTGTCATATTGTCATAAGTGGCATCGTTATAGATACAATTGTGAGTGCCACTCCATTCTTGGAGAAATCCAATTCTGCTGATGTTCAAATTTTGTCATTCCAAAGAGACGGGCAAATTCCATTGCTGCTTTTCATGGAGACCTGCCATTGACTTCCACCCAGGCAACAATTATTGCATCACCAGCTTCTGGCGTGGATGGCAACTTGGCAAAGATCGAGAAAGTTGTGCTGGATCATCTTGGAAGAGCCTGGATTATTTGAGATTGTGAGCCAAATTTGGGAGCCAAATTCCATCTCATGAGTTATCATCATGTTCCATGTTTTCCTACTAAAATTGGACATAGAATGGACTATATAAGTATCATCCAACATTTTGTATGCCAGCTCTGGATGACCAGATTGATGAGGCATGTGAGCTTCAACCGATGGCTGGTTCGATATTTGTACGTCCCTTTGGGTGGTCGCAAGTGCCCTGGCTTCCCTGGCTTTCAGCACCTGCTTACTGAAGCACAGGTGAGTAGTGGCTGTAGTTGACCATTGTTGATTGTAGATATCATGGTGATTCATGATCATTATCTATAATCTACCATGGTATATCACCATTATCATTGTTGATTGTAAATTAATGATATTGTTGATAATGGTATATCCATGAGCTGCGAATACTTCTTCTTAACCAACCTTCCAGGTATCGCCTCGTGAATGTGTGGCTGGTCTTTGGTTTCGTCGCAACATGGAAGCATTTTTCTGGCATCGGAGGCATGTTTCGGCATGTTTGGGCTAAATCATATTTTCGACCTCAGAAAAACTTAGTGAGGTAAATGCCCCAAAATCAGCTTATTTCAGCTTGGCAAATCTGAAAATTCATCCAGATGGTTCGCCAAATTGTCCCAAGGCACTTTGGCATGATGCTGAGTTGAAACTCCTCGCCTGGGGCATGTTGAACGCCCTCTTCATGGCAACTTGGCTGGTGGAATTCTGTTGCTTCAACTCTTTTTTTTCGAGGGCCAAGTTACAGAAATTGCGAGGTTGGAGAATCCCTCGCTGCATGTGTTTGGAGAAGCAAGGCGTGAAAGCGACACATTGCATCCGAGAGTTATGAATCTCCATGTTCGTCAATCCTTCGTCTTTTTTTTCGACTTTGCAGGTGTTTTCCACTGTGAGGGCCTTGCCTGAAACTTCAAGGCTCAAGGGCCTGGTGTGATGGCAGATTTTCAGCCTCCCTTTCTTCAAAGCAGGGTGATTTGATGCAGGTGGGTCCGAGCAGCCGCAGGAGGGATCGACCAGGTTGTTATTTTACAGAGTCTTCCTGTGTTGCTGAACACCTTGTTAAGGATCTCAACATACTTCCATGGTACATAATATCATGTTACATCAATTATATATTTCATGAATTTTCATGATTAGATGGTACATCTCCATTACATCCTTCAGGGTTTCAGTGCCCAAAGACTTTTTGCTGCAACACTTTGGATCCCTGCCATCCCAGCAACGGTTCAACGGCGAGGAGCCAGCTATGTCTACGTCCTGTTCTTCGTGAACCTCACGGGCTACGCCTTGGGAGTTGGTGGAACTGCCTCGTTGGCGCAGCACGCCTTTTTGGAAGACTGGGCACCGGTGGGGGGCCTTAAAAAAAAACGGGGGTGACTGGTGGAGAATGGTGGGTGGTTTGCACATTGTTCAAGCATATCTGGAGATACTTGGGATGATTTTGATCGGTTCTCAGTTAACTGGGAGATATTAAATATATTGATTACTATCATTGATATTCTTTGATGATTAATCAATCATGATAGTAATGATTTGACGAATATCTTCTACTATGCTCAACCATACTGGGCATGATGATCCCAATGAACGATGGGTCAAAAGCCACCAAGGAGTTACCAAGAAAACATCGCCACTTTGACAACACTTTTTGGCTGGCATGAACATCAGAAACATCAGTTGCAGGGTCAAACATATAGGAAATTCAGATTCATCCACAATAATCGAGACATACCCTCTGGTAAACTAACATAACTATGGAAAATCACCATTTTTAATGGGAAAATCCACTATAACTGGCCATTTTCAATAGCTATTTTGACATAACCAGAGGGTAACAACCAATTACAACCATAGTTTCCATTGATCTCCCCTTCGCCCAGTGCTTGGAGACTTTGGTTTGCACTGCCATCTTTCTCTTCGCTGCAGTCCAGGCAGGATGCGTAGCCAATCCCCACGTGGCACCCGGTTGAGCCATCCGTTGTTCTCCAGGTGATGCTGGAGCTTCGTGAGTGTGGCCTATGCGTTGATGGTGCTGGGTGAATGGATGTGAATTGCCAACCAGGACGAATCTGAATCTCTGTTATTGATGTGTATCCTGGTTTGGAGATAGGTTCTTTTCCACATGTATGTCATACTATGTCATGTTTTTTAGTGTTTTTGAGTGTGGGAACAGAGTTGTTTCTGAGAATATATTCTACTTCTGCCCAATATTAGACACCACCGTGTTGCACGCCATCAATCCTGCTCTTCTGCTGAGACGACAGTCTTGTGTCATTCTCCAGTTTGATATAAAAGTCAACAAGCAAATCAGGAACAACAATTATTTGGTTGACAATAATCAAATTGGAACCACTATAATCAATTATTGTCAAATAATCAGTTCAAATTGGAACCACTATTTGAACTCAATTATTTGGACAGACTATGATGAACCAAAGATGCGTCAAGAGACGAACAGGATCGAACAGGATGAAGTTCGAGGCATGACAGCTGACAGCAACACCCAAAGCCAGAACTTAATCCATGGAGAAAAACGCCGTCTTCCAACGAGATGAACAAATCAGCATGGCATGAAACGAGATGAAAACCCGTGAGCAATATTAGAAAGCGGGGTACTTGAGATGTCACAGACTTGAACAAGCTTTGAACAGTCAATGAGCATTTGTTGGGGGTGTTAGAGAAGAAGAAGAAGAAGAAGACGACGAAATATCGCTTGGCTAGACCTACACATTGACATTGAGCAACATTGCTTCTCCTCATTTGAAAGACCCTTCAATGATCAAGATATTGAAAGTTGACGACAGAACCACTTTAGACGACAGAACAGAATTCTATCCCAAGGGTCATTTCCTAATTAGTCTTGAAATCAGAACTTCTCCATTTTGCTGTGCCAATCAACCGCTTGGGGTGAAACCATCATCCTGCAGGATCTCCAAGTTCCACCTGCAGGTCTTCCATGCCGTTTGTCCCTGGAGAATCTGAAGCGACCAGGCAGTTGGACCAGGTGGACCGTTGATTTCATGAAACCAAATTTAGGCCAAATAAACCTATCACTGTGCGGTTTCCCACACTTTTGGATCTTTTTTGCCCACATTCTGCACAAAGCTTTCCTGTCGTTCGCAGGTCGAGCTGGAGCTGGTGAGATCGTTCTCTGAAACCGGAAGATGCTCCGAAAGATGTGGGCGTCCATTTCAGGAAGACCTGCTGCGAAGGACAAAGTTGCCTTTGAAATCCTCGAATTCTGTGGAAAAGCCATCCGTTGCCATCCTTTGTGAAGTGGCATCCATGCTATGATGGTTCTGCTATTGTTCTGAGGGGCCAAGAGAAAGATAGAGAAAGGATGAGAAAGATATAAGTCTCTTGGTGTTGGTCAAATCTTGCTGCTATGATCTGTTAAGCAGCATCCACACTGCAAATTTGCTGAGAAAAATCACTGCTTGGTGGCCGCAGCTTTTGGGGCCTTCAAGGATCAGCTTTCACTGCAATTCTCAGCTGGCAGCATGGCAAACAGATCCAGGAAATCATAGCTCTGACAGTTGAGCTAAAAATTTGCGAACATATCATCTGCAAAAGTCCTGACCCAAAAGGCTCTCACGCAGCACTTGTTCATCCCCAACTTTTTTCTGCAGGGTTCGGTTCTGCTGAGTTTTGAAGTTGATCCTTGATCTCAAGTCACAAAAAGTTAAAGTTCAAGTTGACTTTTAAACAGTGCAGTATATTGACATATTTTAGTAGCTCATTGAAAAGTGCTTGAACTTCAAAACTTATTGAAAAATTTGAAAAGTGCTAGTTTTTTTCGTCCGAAGTGCCCAGTGGTTGGCATGATATTTGGCTGACGCCAAGCTTGTCATGGATGCCGGAGGGCAGGGCCATGCCACTGTGGAGTACCGGGTGATGCAAGGGCCTTTGTTTAAGAAGCCTGGCACAAATCCGGAGAATCCCAAGGCACTGTGACTCATCAGAAAAGTGGTTGCTTTATGTCGAAGTTTGGCCATGTAAGATCACTTGAGCAGTTGTGGAGGTGGTGAAACTGAACCGAAAGGTGGGTTCAACCGTCAGATGCTCAGAATCTGTTGTAGTCAGATCACCAGACGGTTTTCATCGTTTTTCAACATCTCATGCCATGCTCCCAGTGGCCACAACATCAACTCATTTTGGAGGTCCCAACCACCAGAAAAACCTGGACGGGTCCTGCGGGCGGCCTCTGGGTTGAGCTGGCGCAGGAGAAACCCGGCTGGCTGCTGGTCAGGACCTTGGATGTCTTGGATGAAGGATCAGCCATGGATGTTGCCATTGTTCTGGAAAATCGTCAGATATTGGTATTTAAGGGCTGCCGCCCCTGCCGCCGACCCCGGAACAAAAGACCAGGAACACGTCACGTCTGAATCCCTAGTAACTGCTGGACTGGCGGCTGGCTGCTACCTGCTGCCTGCTGGCTGCCTGCTGCTGCCTCCTTCAGGGCCTTGGCGTTGATAACGTGTCGAAAGTCGTTTTGTGTGGCAGGCGCAATACTTTTGTATCGTTTTCACAAGATGCCGCCAGTCAGAAGGCACCAAGCCACAGTGGCCCTGAAGGACGGAACAGCGCCAAAATCGAGCCCAAAAAGTGCCTAACGTCCCTTCTGAAACCCTAGAAAAACAATAGTTTTGGACAAGTTTTTATAGTTTTCGACCAATATTTATACCACTGTTTGTACAATCAGACATAGAACCCTCCTGTTGCTCCTGTTGCTGCTGCTGCTCTTCCTCCGGAGGCTCAAAACGCACCCTGCCGGACAAGGAAACACACTGGCCGTGAGGGACGGAACAGTGCCAAAATCGAGCCCAAAAAGTGCCTATAACATCCGTTCTGAAACTCTAGAAAAATAATAGTTTTCATTTCAACCAGTTTTTGTACCACTGTTTGTAAAATGAGACATAGAACCCTCCTGCTGGTCCTGGTGCTGCTGCTGCTTTTCCTCCCGAGGCTGAAACCGCACCCTGCCGGACGGGGAAACACAGTGGCCCTGAAGGACGGAACAGCGCCAAAATCGAGCCCAAAAAGTGCCTAACGTCCCTTCTGAAACCCTAGAAAAACAATAGTTTTGGACAAGTTTTTATAGTTTTCGACCAATATTTATACCACTGTTTGTACAATGAGACATAGAACCCTCCTGTTGCTCCTGTTGCTGCTGCTGCTCCTCCTCCCGAGGCTGAAAACGCACCCTGCCGGACGGGGAAACACAGTGGCCCTGAAGGACGGAACAGCGCCAAAATCGAGCCCAAAAAGTGCCTAACGTCCCTTCTGAAACCCTAGAAAAACAATAGTTTTGGACAAGTTTTTATAGTTTTCAACCAATTTCTATACCACTGTTTGTACAATGAGACATAGAACCCTCCTGTTGCTCCTGTTGCTGCTGCTGCTCTTCCTCCCGAGGCTGAAAACGCACCCTCCCGGACGGGGAAACACAGTGGCCCTGAAGGACGGAACAGCGCCAAAATCGAGCCCAAAAAGTGCCTAACGTCCCTTCTGAAACCCTAGAAAAACAATAGTTTTGGACAAGGTTTTATGGTTTTCGACCAATTTTTATACCACTGTTTGTACAATGAGACATAGAACCCTTCTGTTGCTCCCGTTGCTGCTGCTGCTCCTCCTCCCGAGACTGGAAACGCACCCTGCCGGACGGGGAAACACAGTGGCCCTGAGGGACGGAACAGCGCCAAAATCGAGCCCAAAAAGTGCCTAACGTCCCTTCTGAAACCCTAGAAAAACAATAGTTTTGGACAAGGCTTTATGGTTTTCGACCAATTTTTATACCACTGTTTGTACAATGAGACATAGAACCCTCCTGTTGCTCCTGTTGCTGCTGCTGCTCTTCCTCCCGAGGCTGAAAAAACGCACCCTCCCGGACGGGGAAACACAGTGGCCCTGAAGGACGGAACAGCGCCAAAATCGAGCCCAAAAAGTGCCTAACGTCCCTTCTGAAACCCTAGAAAAACAATAGTTTTGGACAAGTTTTTATAGTTTTCAACCAATTTTTATACCACTGTTTGTACAATGAGACATAGAAGCCTCCTGTTGCTCCTGTTGCTGCTGCTGCTCTTCCTCCCGAGGCTGAAAAAGCCACCCTCCCGGACGGGGAAGACGGAAACACGTTGGCCCTGAAGGACGGAACAGCGCAAAATCGAAAGAGCCCAAAAAGTGCCTAACGTCCTTCTGAAACCCTAGAAAAACAATAGTTTTGGAACAAGGTTTTGATAGTTTTCAACCAATTTTGATACACCAATGTTTGTACAATGAGACATAGGACCCTCCTGTGGCTCCTGTTGCTGCGGCTGCTTTCCTCCCGAGGTGAAAGCACCTAACGGACGGGGACAACACAGTGCGACCTGAAGGACGGAACAGCGCCAAAATCGAGCCCAAAAAGTGCCTAACGTCCCTTCTGAAACCCTAGAAAAACAATAGTTTTGGACAAGGTTTTATAGTTTTCGACCAATTTTTATACCACTGTTTGTACAATGAGACATAGAATTCTCCTGTTGCTCCTGTTGCTGCTGCTGCTCTTCCTCCCGAGGCTGAAAACGCATCCTCCCGGACAGGGAAACACAGTGGCCCTGAAGGACGGGACAGCGCCAAAATCGAGCCCAAAAAGTCCCTAACGTCCCTTCTGAAACCCTAGAAAAACAATAGTTTTGGACAAGGTTTTATGGTTTTCGACCAATTTGTATACCACTGTTTCTACAATGAGACATAGAACCCTCCTGTTGCTCCTGTTGCTGCTGCTGCTCTTCCTCCCGAGGCTGAAAAAACGCACCCTCCCAGACAGGGAAACACAGTGGCCCTGAAGGACGGAACAGCGCCAAAATCGAGCCCAAAAACTCCCTAACGTCCCTTCTGAAACCCTAGAAAAACAATAGTTTTGGACAAGGTTTTGTGGTTTTCGACCAATTTTTATACCACTGTTTCTACAATGAGACATAGAACCTTCCTGTTGCTCCTGCTGCTCTTCCTCCCGAGGCTGAAAACGCACCCTCCCGGACAGGGAAACACAGTGGCCCTGAAGGACGGAACAGCGCCACAATCGAGCCCAAAAACTGCCTAACGTCCCTTCTGAAACCCTAGAAAAACAATAGTTTTGGACAAGGTTTTATGGTTTTCGACCAATTTTTATACCACTGTTTGTACAATGAGACATAGAACCCTCCTGTTGCTCCTGTTGCTGCTGCTGCTCTTCCTCCGGAGGCTCAAAACCATAGAACCCTCCTGCTGCTCCTGTTGCTGCTACTCTTCCTCCGAATGCCGAACGTAACTTCTGAAACCCATAGAAAAGAAGAAGGACGGAACGACCTCCAAAAACATGCTGTCCCGAGGCTTGACGTCTCTTCTGGATTCTGGTAAAAACAAAGCGCCTGCTGCTGCAGATGCTTTTGCTGCTGCTGCTGTTGGTCCTCGGATGGGAACATAACAGGTGCTACTGCTGCTCCTGCTGCTGGTGCTGCTGGAGCAGGTGCTGCAAGCCTCCGAAACACACCCTTCGCCACACCGAAACACTGTACTGCAGCTGCTGCTGCTGCTGCTGCTGCTGCTGCTGCTGCTGGTGATAGTTTTCAACCAGTTTTTGTACCACTGTTTGTAAAATGAGACATAGAACCCTCCTGCTGCTCCTGTTGCTGCTGCTGCTCTTCCTCCCGAGGCTGAAAACGCACCCTGCCGGACGGGGAAACACAGTGGCCCTGAAGGACGGAACAGCCAAAATCGAGCCCAAAAAGTGCCTAACGTCCCTTCTGAAACCCTAGAAAAACAATAGTTTTGGACAAGTTTTTATAGTTTTCAACAAATTTTTATACCACTGTTTGTACAATGAGACATAGAACCCTCCTGTTGCTCCTGTTGCTGCTGCTGCTCTTCCTCCCGAGGCTGAAAACGCACCCTCCCGGACGGGGAAACACAGTGGCCCTGAAGGACGGAACAGCGCCAAAATCGAGCCCAAAAAGTGCCTAACGTCCCTTCTGAAACCCTAGAAAAACAATAGTTTTGGACAAGGTTTTATAGTTTTCGACAAATTTTTATACCACTGTTTGTACAATGAGACATAGAACCCTCCTGTTGCTCCTGTTGCTGCTGCTGCTCTTCCTCCGGAGGCTCAAAACGCACCCTGCCGGACAAGGAAACACACTGGCCCTGAGGGACGGAGCAGTGCCAAAATCGAGCCCAAAAAGTGCCTAACGTCCGTTCTGAAACTCTAGAAAAACAATAGTTTTCAACCAATTTTTGTACCATTGTGTGTACAATTAGACATAGAACCCTCCTGCTGCTCCTGTTGCTGCTGCTGCTCTTCCTCCCGAGGCTGAAAACGCACCCTGCCGGACGGGGAAATACAGCTGCTACTGCTGCTCCTGCTGCTGGTGCTGCTGGAGCAGGTGCTGCAAGCCTCCAAAACACACCCTTCGCCACACCGAAACACCATGCTACTGAAGGCTGGAACGACCTCCAAAAACATGCTGCCCCGGGGCTTGACCACCTGCTGCTGCTGCTGCTGC